TTAAAGTTGTAGCAACGTTTCGGCAGAATCTCATCTGCCATCTGCCCTGAAGCCTGATGATGGCAGATGAGATTCTGCCGAAACGTTGCTACAACTTTAAAAACACAACTATAATGACGTGGGAACAAAGCTGAATACCATACATGTAAGTATCCGCGAAAACTTAAGAAAACACACATATGTATGTATGTATTTATGTATGTATGTATTCATATATATTCATTCATTTATTCATTCATTCATTTATATATATGTATGAGAATAAATGTTGCCTAGTTACATGTATGTATAACTGGAAAATCCCAGGTATTCTGAAATACATTCTCAAATTAAGAGAAAAAATGTTGCACCCAGCAATAATAGCATGTTAATTATGGAGTACAACAAGTATGCTATTACAAGTTGTGGTTTTGGTTCACCTCTTTTTTTCTTATTCTTTTACATTCAATGGTGCTTTAAAGTTTGTAAACCTTTTGAATTTTTAATATTTCTCCACAAGTATGGTCTAAAATATAGTATGTTCTGCACGCATTCCAAAATTAGGTTTACCTACTTTTGCCACACTTAAACATGTAGCTTTGGATCATTTTAATAAAGAAACAAACAATTAAATAAAGTGTTTTCAACTCATTTAATTGGGTTCCCTTTATCTATTTTTAGTACTTGCGTGAAAATCAGATAACATTTTAGGTCATACTTATACAAAAAATACTGAAAATCCAAAGTTGTTCACAAACTTTTAAGCATCACTGTATTTATTTGTTAAACAAGGACAGCAACATGGCAGGAGGAGGGTAGTTTTGCAGTTCACAGAAAATGCTCAGAACAAAATGGATTAAATACATGCCAGACTTCCCCACCATTTTAAAGGAATAAATACATGTACCACTTTAAAATAGTAGAGAACTATGGCGTGTAGTTTATGGTGGAAATTAAAATGCTATGTAGTTAAAATAGTGGAAAAATACATCAAATGTAGTTTAAGACCTAAAATTGGTTCGAGTAAAGGTAGTCCTCCACTTAAACCCACACTGAGACTGGAATTTCCACTGATAAGCAAGATGGTTGTTATGTGAGACATGGCTGATTTTATGACCTTTTGCCATGTTGTTAAGTGAATTGATGCAGTTGTTAAGTGAATCATGCAGTCATTAAGAATCCAGTTTCCATCATTGACTTGTCAGATGCTGGGTAGAAATGTCATAAATGATGATCACATGACCCAGAATACTGCAATTTGTCATAAATATATGCTGGTTGTCAAGCACCCAAATTTTGATCATATGATTGTGGGATGCTGTGACAGTCATTGATGTGAGGACTGGTTATAAGTACTTTTTTCAGTGTTGTTGTAACTTCGAAAGGTTGCTAAATGGATGGTTTTAAGCTGTGGATGTCTATACTGAACAAACATCGTATACTATAAGAACTAACTTCAATTTCCATTCCAAAACTGAAGAAAATTTGGACATTCTGGCTTTGTCCCCATATATGACATGGTCTTGGCTACTTGGCCAGCCATAGTCACTACTGTCCCAAAACCAAAAGAGGAAAAACTACAGAAAAGGAATCTCAAAGGTGCTTTTTCGGGAGGCAATTGGACATTCTGGTTTTTCTTTGAAGATGTTTCCCTTCTCATTCAAGAAGCTTCTTCAGCTCTGAGGAAGAAGAAACTTCCGGAGCTGAGGAAGCTTCTTGGATGAGAAGTGAAACATCTTCAAAGAAAAAACAGAAAAAGCACCTTTGGGATAACCATGATCTGGATCACTGAGAATCTCCATAGACATACAGAAAAGGACAAAAATATAATCTTACATATAAATTCCAGGTTTGTTTAACATATTCTTTGATTAGATTTTCCTTTAAGTCCTCAAATTGACTTGTTTTTGGTTCCACTCCTGGTGGTCGATTACATGGTTTCCTGAGTAAACACACGAGACCATCGACTTCATCTGAGTGGTAGTCAATAAGTTCTAGAGGACTCCGGTGGGATTTCCCTCCAGTAATAGCATAAGTACCATTAATTTCCCTCTCAATGGTATAATGATAAACCTTTCCATTGTGTGCCAGAGACAACGCAAAACCACCCAGATAGTTTCGGCTCTGTCGCAGTAAATACAGTCCATTGTTTAATCCTCCTTGCAGCAAATAATCTTCAGCTTCTTCACGTGTGATGTTGCCAAAAAAATAGGATAGGTGGCTAACAGGATCAGAACTTGCCATTTTTCTCCAACTATTTCTCTTTACTTGTCTGCTTTAGAAGTTGTATTACACCTAGAAAGAATTTTTAAAAAACACCCAGTTAGTGACACTTTTGTATGAATGTATGTTATTTTGTATGCTACCTTAATGATCTTATTGAAACCAGCAATGGAAATATACACAATGCAATCATGAGCTGAGAGATAATCAACGAATCCTAATAATAAAAAATCAAAGGGAAACAATATTTTCACTGCCAACAATATTCACATAACGCTCTCCTATAGGAGTAAGCAATGTAGTGCCAGAAAATAAACATGAAAGAGAAAGCATTCTGTGGCTTCTGAAATGCCTTCTAACCCTTTAATAATATCTTCACTCTTGGTCAAAAGTGGGAAGGGATTTAGAGTAGAGCAAGTATCCACATATGAGCAAAAACAGATGCCAGCAGCTTAAGTGTAACCTGTCAGGAGGTTAGGAGATAGGAGAATCCTTTCCATTCTTAGGTGTCCAGCTGAATTCTGTTTTTGTCAAGTCAATTAAAAATATTAAACATTGCAACATTTGTGCATTTTTTCCATCATCTGCTTATCATTCAAATGGCTATATCTAGACTGTTAGGGATACACCCTAGCAGGATCTGCAGGGCAGTCAGGCAAAATATGTGAGATAAACGTTTTTGTAGCTTACACTCAGTAAAACAGATACACAGTGCTAATTAAATAGTTTATTCCAGTAAGATTTATATCATAGTCAAAAACAGTCCATATATCATTCACTAGTCAGTCCGTCCAGGGATTATTCAGTTGCAAATTCCAGTGTCGAAAAAGAGAGGTCAGTAAACTTACAAATGTCAGTCCGGTAATATATCTCCTCGCAGTAGAGAGATATGAAGAACTCAAAAACTCCTCTCTTCCTTCAGCAACTCAGCAGTAGAGGGAAAAACGCAGCTAACAAACCATGCAATCCAGTAATTGTCAGTAATTGCCAGCAATCAATCAGGTTCTCTTGCTCCCTCTTATGGTGGTTTCACACCACACCCAAAATTACATGCTTTGCAGTTTAAAAGTGACACACACTTAAACATACAATCATAGTTTATATATATTATTTTACCCAAACTACATTAGGTAACCTATGTTATTCCTAACATAGACTATATGTTCAAATACATAACATGAAGTTTCCTTCAGCTCTTCTATCTCCTCAGAAAAAGCATTCGGGAAAATATTACTAAATTTCTCTTTTTAACTGAAACTACTGGCTATCTCTGTCCCACTTCTTCTCTCAATGCTTCTTTGCAAACTTCTTTGCCCACATTGCTTCAGTTTTTTAACAATATTTATTTAGGTGAAAGTTTCCCAAAGTCCTTTATTTTTTCTTTTTAGCATTCCATTGAACTGGAAATCATTTTTAAAAATTGTTGACATGTTTTGGATCATCAAATTAATTCCCTATAGAGTGAAAATCCAAAAATAATGTTGCTTTAATAACTTTGGTCTTACCCTAGGTTAACTCAGGTAAAAGAAGCATTTCAACTAAAATGACTATCCATATAGAATTATGCCAATAATTTAGATATTACTTCATCGTTCTATTGCCTACAGGCTGAAATAGTGCACCTTCCTTAAAAGTTTATAGGTACATGTACAAAACTGCACATCAGTTCTGAATCAAGAACTTCCTAGCTTAGCTTTATTCACCAAAGTGTGAATTGTTTGCATATGAATCCAAGCAAAAAGTTTGTACTGGTGCACATAACTCAAACATATATACCATTGATGTACTAAGCCTTCTAAAAACCCAATTGCTCTTTTATTCTAAGAGTTGCGGAATCATATAAAAAATGTGTTTGCTTAGTATTCTTCAGTTATGACTGTACTTTGGACTATTCCTTAGAATATATATATATATATATATATATATATATATATCTGTGTGTGTGTGTGTGTGTGTGTGTGTGTATTATTATACACACACATGTATGTATGTGTATATATATATATATATATATATATATATAAAATCAAGTGTGCCACCCGTCTTGCTAAGATGGGCTGAGGGCTCTTGGATTATTCTTCTAAAATTATTTTAGCCTTGCTCAGTTTAATTTCATTTTAAATTAAAAATTCATAGTTTTTAAATTAACTTGTGAACTGACAATATTAATAATAACTGATGAGCATCAGGGTGGGATTCAAATTTCTTAACATGTGGTTCTGTGGATGTGACCTAATTTGTGGGTGTGGCTTGGTGGCCATGTGACTGGGTGGGCATGGCTTGCTGACTGGGCATGGCTTGGTGGTCATGTGACTGGGTGGGCACGGTTTGTATATAGATATTATAAATATTTATGTAAATATTGATTTTTTTTATAAAAAAGAGCAACTTTTACCCAAAAGCAGCAAAGCAGGCAGATTGAGTTGCTCACAGAATCACAGATTCACTTAGAGATCTATCTATCTGCAATCGACTATCTGAATCTGTCACATAAAATTTGCTTGCAAGTAAATTCACAAAATTAACTCACAACAAACCATGTGTGTAAATATTGATTTTTTTATTTAAAAAAAGAGAAACTTTTACCCCAAAGCAGGCAGGCAGATTGAGTTGGTCACAGAATCACAGATTAACTTAGAGTTCTATTTATCTACAAATGGCTACCTGAGTCTGCACTGAAAAGCTTCAGTCCTAAGAAAGGTTTGGCTCTGCTTTTAGATTAGCTAGAAAGCAAGAAATCTAAGGATGGAGTGAGAGGAATTATACACATATGTACACATTAATATACAAGTATTTTATAAATGTATTTACTGTATAAAAAGGCAAAAAAATAGGAACAGGCAAGACCTCTTACAAACTGAAGTTGAAATGGGACAGAATGAGGATGTCTTTTATAAATGTGAACATCAGAGAACAGATTTGTCCTAAATTAGGCAATTAGTACAATTTTTTTTCCACTGTTCTCATTGCAATTTTCAACCCCCCCCCCCAAAAAAAACTAATACAACACATCAATCCTTAGTTGAATACAACAAAAATATGGTATGCCTTTTTAATAAAATGTTATGTGCAATCATCCTCAAAAAATTTACCTGCAGATTTTGGAAGTGTTTCCAGGTATATATATATAGAGAAAGAAAATATGCAGCATGACAATAATTGCATTTCAATTGAAAATAAATCTGATTAAATTAAAATTCTTGCATAGACATAATATCCTGTCTTGCACAAGCTAAAATAATAAATAATTGTTAATAATAAATAATAGGGTTTTTTCTACTTATTGGGAGTCTTATGCATATTTAATAGAAGTTGATATCAATAAGATAGCCCAAATTTCAAATACCAAATTAAGAAAGCCAGTTAGATTTTTTTTGAAGAAAACTCTATTTTTCAAATATTTTTTTAAAACAAAAACTTTGAAAGGAAAAAGTGTTTTCTGTCAAAAACCAGAAGTATTTTAGTAACCGAAGAGTCAGGATTGTAGTTAGTTAGCAAAATATGTCCACCAGTAAAATAAGACAAAAATCCCCTGATAATTTTAATAGCCCATCTGCTTTCATCTATTTTTATAAGTAATTTGTTAATGCTAGCAATCCAACACTACATGAAAAAGCCAACACTTTCCCAAATGTGTTAGCTAGATTTCATTCTCCTGAAAATAATATATAATATTGAAAATAAGATTCTATTTATGAAGTTTATAGTACAGACAAGAACAAGCAATGGCTCTGTCTACCAAACATCTAAATGTGTAAAGCAGAATGCAGAAAGTGAAAAGGGGGGGGGGGAGATTCATTCCAAAACAAATGGTTGTCCAGGCTCTGCTTGAATGCATCCTGTGAAAATCAGCTGACTTTGAGTCTAAGGTATACAAGAACTCATGGTTTCTTGGTTTCTAGCTAGGTGCCTTAACTGGTTTTCATATAATGATCTCAAAGGTAATCAAATGACAGATCTGTCATATTCACACAACAGATTATAACCAGAATGAATATATATAGACATATAAATTATTAAATCGGATTATGGGTGGTGGATCCTGACTGAGCTTATTTTATGTAAAAGCAATATTCTATATCTTAACTTTAAAACCTGGACTTTTTATTTTACTATAAATACAAGCATCAATTACCTGCCAATTCTGTGAATAAACTGACAAAAAACAACAACTTTCATCAAGCATACCATAAGGAAAGAAAACTGTAATAATTTGCATATATATGAAAATATAGAGCCAGCATCTCAGGAAATCAATACATGACCATTAAAAGGTATACCTAATGTCAGAGCTAATACAGCAATAAGCAAAAAAAAAAAATTACTCAAGAAAATCAAGAAAATCAAGTGGAATAAAGTGATCTTAAAATTATATATGTAATGATCTAAATGTTCCTCAATTTAAATGAAAATATTCCTATTAAGCATGTCAGTATAACACAACAGCTAAAGTCCACCCACTTCAACCTTCATAATCATGGATTATATATAGCAATAACACATGATGAATTTTGAGCTTACTTTAATGGTGCAAAGTTACAGAGGATTTGATTTATTCTTGTTACGTATCACTCTATCATTCTGAAATCTCCCACATTTCTTGGTCTGAAATGTTTCCTTCAGAAATATTCCCATGGGATTAATCAAACATAAAAAAAATCAAAGCGGACACAAGCAGAAACCTACAATAAGAGATGAGCTACATTAACAAATACTACTGCCCCCTAATTACTTACAAAACTCTGGCATTTCTACCCAATATAAATGTCACCAAAAGATTACTACATCTATTTAAAAAAAGTTAAGCAAACTAATCAAATTGAAATACAGTGTTAAAAAAATAGAGGTTTTATAACAGAATTACTATACAGTATATACAGTACATGTATGCAGATGCAAAATTATGATAACAAGTACCCAGAAATACTTTGCAATTTCAAATTAAAAGCTCTCCATCAGTTTAACAACTTGGGTATTTATTTTTGCTGACCCATGAACTGAGGACAAGAATCTTCTATACCCCTAGCACAGAGGCTATGCATAAATTGCGCACGTAAATAATTCTCAAGCACAGTATTTTTAACTATCTGTGTGGTTGAAAATTAAAATTACTGAATTTAAATGCTTTATAGAGCCTCTAGATGGCAGGGTAAATTGAGGAAGGAGCAATGTTTATTTCTTTTTAAATTCTTCCTAAACAAATATCTTCTGAATACTTCCCTTTCAGCTGGTTTCATTTTAGGTTAATACCTTGACTGGATTAGATTAGAAACTACTTTGGGGAAGGTCCTTCAGTGCATCTTAGGCCTCTTTCAACATAATGTCCAATGCCTCTTCCTATTGGTCCCAGCAAGCTTCATATGGTCTGACAGGGGAGTTTCCAAGATTGAATGTCTTTGTAATCAGTACTCTCTTTCCATTCCTGAAGGCAAAAATCTGGCAAAATGTGTCTGCTTCTGTGACATCCTGAGATGGTTTTAACATAAATCTTATTAAACCTTATTAAACATAACTAAATGTAACAGAACTAAACATAACTATGATGTTGAAAACCTTGAGGTAAAGGCAGCACAGTCTAAAATTCAACTTACAATATTGTCTTGCAGATCCAGTTACATGATACAGTACTTCTATTTAAAATTCAGCCACAATGGAGCCGAAGTACTGTATGCAATTCAGGCCTATGCTGCTGGCTTAGTCTAGTAAAGGACACAAATGTCTTTTTGTCTTGCCTGATAACCTATTAGCCTTCAAAACAGTGGCATCAGATACTTAATTACAAATTTCAGGAAAAAATGAGCAGCAACTTTTTAAATTTAAAATTATGCTTATATAAGTAATGACTGATAAAATGCAATCCACACTGATTCATAAAATAAAAATAAAATAAAATAAAACCAATAAATAAGATTGGTATCCCTCAGCAAAAATAGAGGCCTGTTTGTTTTGACTTTTTCTTCACTAGTCTTTTATCTCAGATTTGGTCCCTCCCATATGTAAATAAATCTGTAATTTTTGCTTTTTACTGAAAGATCTTAACTAGACAAAATGTTCTTTCATCCCTATGTATTCTTGTACTGGTCTGGAAAACAGCCAAACACATAATGAGTAAATATTTACAGGGAGATAAGGAGATTTGCCACATGACCATTACTGGTACCCTGAAAAACATTGATTGGGGTCTGAAACTCAGGCCTCACAGAAAAATGAAAGGTGAGGTTTATATCCCATTGGTAAAATTAGGAATTAGGTCTAAATCCCTTCCCTCTTCTCATAATTTACTGAAAAAGTTTTGATACCTTTTTGAGACACTTTATTGGGTCTCAATATACCCAATATACTTGCATACAGTATTGTCAAGCACAAAGCCAGCTGGTTAATTTTGGGCCACTCACACACTCTCTCTCTCAGCCTTAACAAGGAAGCAATGGCAAACCACTTGCAAAAAAACGGTAGCAAGAAAACTGCAGAGACTTGTCCAGGCAATTGCCACGAGCCATGACTGACTGAAAAACATGCAGGTGCACACACACCCAATATTTTCATACACTAAGTTTAGGTAGTCTTATGAAATTCAGTAAAATTACTTTGAGGAAAAAATGTACACATTTGTAGTTTTGCGGCAAAATTTCATGTGTTACAAGGTTGTTAAATGAATTGAAATACATAAGGTTTAAAGGATTATATTAGGCATGGAAAAGAATTACCAGCACCATGTTCATTATGCAGACTGAAGTAATCTAAACCTTTGCATGTCATCAACAGTCCTGGTTATTTATGGTCTGCATTCATGTTGCCTGGTTACCTATGGTAAGGCAGGGTTATTCTGAATTTCTTTCTCATACTTTCTCAGGACTGTTGTAATTTTTTCTCCCTTAATGATTCAATCAGTCTTTCCCCAAGATAAATTCTACAATCCATTACACTAAGAAAGGTCAGCAATCTGTGGTGTTACAATTAGATCAGATTAATGGATGAACCACCTCTCCCTAGTTGTACAGTACCTAACTATTCCATTTTGCCCAGTAGGAGAGGCATGTTCAAGGTCTCATCTACTAAGGTGTGTCATCTGTTCAGGCCTAGGAAGAGAACTTCTTTATTGTGGTGCCTGGCCTTTGGATTGCAAAGTTTTGAAGATGCAGCTTTGTCTCTGGACTTGGGGATACAGATGTGTGGTAGAACCTGCCAATGGCTACACTGAATTTTGCTGAAGTGTTTCTGGAACACTGATGTTGATTTTATGCATAAAATTATATGGTTTTACACTGTATTTTTATTGTTTTTAGTTCTGTTTTTTTCATTGTTGTGAGCTCCCCAGAGTTATATATTTGAGATGGGCAAATATTGTAAATGAATTGATAAATGGCCCATCACCCCATGGCTAGGACCTCCATCCAGTCATGGGACTCTGTATTTCTATTTCCTATCCATCTGCCCAAGAGACCAAAACCTTAGTTCTTTTTTTCTCCCATGGACAGAAGAATACTGTATTGACTTGGAATGCATTGCACAAGGCCACTATTTTCATTAGTAACATCCACAAAAACTGTCACTACATCCCACCCTAATATTCTTTCTACCTGGCCTACCTTACTATATCTGTTTCATTCTTTTCCTACCTGCCTAACCTTCTCCCATCCTGACCAAATACAGACCCTTTGCATTTTCTGCCTCTTCTCTTATTGACTTTTGGAAAGGACCATCACTGCTCTCAACTGCAGCTAAATTGAAAAATTCACAATCTTTGTTTAGGTCCAGTGGTAACATGCTGCCCACCAATTGCAGAGGGAAAGGGGAAAGCTTACAGAAAAGGAAGAAGATTTGGACTTGTTGGGCAGGGGTGGGGCCAGACAGAAAGAGAATCTCTCTTTACTTGCTGCCCTGATGGCAGCAGCAGGAAAGTACTACCCCATCTGTAAAGATGGCAACTCTATCTTGAATCTTACTCTGATAAGGGCCTACAGATTTCTCAGTTATCAAAAGGGAAATTAACCTGTAATTTAGCCTATCAGTTTCACATCTTCAGAATTTGTCAACAGTACCCTTTCAAAGTCTTGATGTTTCTCTGCAGAATAATTCTAAGGGGATAAAACAAGGAAAGACAAAGATCCCAAGGGACTGTTCTTAAATAACAGTGACATACAGACTGCAATAGAAATTGAAGGTTGATACGAGAGCCAGTCAGGTGTCAGTAGTTAAGATATCGGGCCAGAAACTGGGAATTCTAGTCCTGCCTTGGATTCTGGGAAGGAGGCAGTGGCCAAGAAAATTGCAGGGACTGATATCAGGAATCAACACTGACTCAAAGGCACAAAACATCCAAAACAAATCCTAAGAAGTTAAAAATTACAACCTTAAAAAAACAACACCTACCAATCAAGTATGAGACAAAAGCAAATGAAACCTGTTAAAGTTGTTCATGAAGGATCTCAACTTCCAATCCCATTTCATTCTCTCCTCCTGTAGGCAGATGGTTTATTATCAATAGTTCTGAACATGTTATTCTGATTCTTGGTTTCCCCTCCTGCCATCTGCACCAAGCCACCTTATTTCTGCACTTATTGTCAAGCAGCTTCTTTTACTTCCCTATCTTGTGTAGCCCAAAACACATTTTTACTTTTTTTTTGAAGCACAACTCACTGTCTTAAGATTCATCTGCCAAACATCACGCCTGTAAGGGCAACTAATGTCAAATAACAAAAAATATATATTCAAAAAAACCCTATATTTAGCTGTATATCCACGTAACTAACATCCATAACTACCCATAGATCTACACCAGCCTGTCACAGCCTTCTGAAACTCCAGTTTCGTTGGACCTAATCACCAACCATTTCGACCAGTTTCGTCCAGTTGCATTCGACCAACCATTTCGAGAGAACAGCCGAGAACTGTAACCTAACGCAGCCACGATTTTTCCAGGAGTTTTTCAAAGAGTTCGCCCAGACTAACCTGCTTCCTTTTCATCCTCTTTCACACTGGACACGCCTCTTTCCCCGAAATGACTCATTCCTTGCCTTGCTTCTGCTGAACCCGACCTCGCATCCCCACGTCCCGCCTTCCAAACGGCCTTTTTTGGTACTTTTTTTTTTTTTTTTGCTTCCTCAGGTCACTCTCGTTTCCCCAAACTTGAAAGCAGTAGGGAAACCTTAAGTCGAACCTCGAATTTCCTCCTCCTCCTCCTCCGTCCGTCTCGCGCAGTTATCCAACTCCAAATCCTGGCTGACATTAATCTAGAAGAGGGGAATCCTGAAGCCCTTTTCTGTCACCCCCTTCCCTCTTTCGAAATTTGGGAAGGAACGCCTCTTACTTGAGAAACCGACGGGTGGTGGGAATCTCCGACAGGGGCCTCTCCTCACCAGCCCCTGCAGCGGCGGGAGGGAATTTGCGGAAAAATGCGCTCGCAAGTAGAATCTTCGTCGGTTTGCACCTTCAGGATCTCGGCGGCGAGACTTCGCCCCCGCCCTCCCTCAGCTCCAGTTCCCAGATCGGCGCGCTTCTTTCCCGCCGCCTCGGCTCTTTACTGCCCACGCCTGCTGGGCACTTCGGCTGTAGCCCCGGGTCGGTTCAGGATGAGTGGAGCGCTCGCTTCCTCATTTTCTCCCTTGCAGCCCCAACTATTTCCTCAGCGCTGAGGCTCAGCTGAGCAACACTTCCTCGTCGGACGAAGGACGCAGCTGTCTTCATTTGCTTAAGAGCCGATTAGGGAAGGAGCAAAAAGAGACAGCTTTGGGCAAGTAACCTGTTCAAATCGGGCAACGGCTGTTCAAATCGGGCAATCCAGGACTTCCGCGGGAACGTGGCACCTGCAGACGTCGAGCTTTCGCCTGCAAGTCTGGCAGAAAAGTTTGGGCAATTAACATTGGCGGTCACAGTCCACCGCCTGCTTCTAAGACTTGTGACCCGCAGGACCTTGGTTTATGTTTAAAACTTTCCAGAGGGATAACTTCGTTAGTCTGCGGCTACAAAACCAGCAGACTGACTGTAGGTATCTTTGTTATCATCTGTGTGGCTTGGCATGGACTTTGTGGATTACTTCCACTTGTTTTATTAGAGCGTTCCCTTCAATAGACCCTTAAACTGAAAACAAAATGCCTAAAACCACAAATAGGGGATACTTGATTTAATAAGATTGGCTTGATTTTGTTCCTCAGATTGCCTGCTATGAAGAAAAAAAATCTGACATGAGAAGTGATCGAAGAAGAAAACTAGCTCTCCATTGTTCTTTTACTTCTTCAGCATAACTTTAGGGTACATGGAAGAAGGTCTCCAGGGGAAGCTGCCCAGCTGCTAGGGTCCCTTATGCTTCTGCCCCAATTTGTAGGATGCAAGAAAAGGCACCTTCTTGCTTATTCTCTCAGAGAAGATTGTCAGATCATATTGGTAACCTCGGACATGAGCACAAACAGTTCATCTTACTCCATGGGGGTTAGAAAATTGGTGAACAGATGAGAAACCACTTCATTCGCTCACTTGCTGGTGCTCTCCCCTTCTCCATGGCTTCCTAATGAGAACTGAGCCAAAATAGCCCATATTTACATATCAACCAATGAGAGAATTGAAACAAGAAGTGCAAGAATATAGCCCTTTGTAAAGGAAACCATTACTCCTTGGAGGGAAGGAAAAGTACAACACAGAGGCAAGAAGTAGCTACTGCTTCCTTTCACTGTTTTTGGGAGTGTGGATGGAGTAGATAAGGGTGCTAAAGAAGAGAGACCAATTGTCATCCTTCGTTCTTACTGAACTTTTACACTGTTCCAAGGCCTAAGAAAGAATATAATAATGAGTCTTTTGCTACTCAGTTTTTCCTTTGATTATTCAACACGCACATTCAGCATGGAAACAGCCTTCTCATCTGCAGACCTGGATTTTTCCTCCAGGCAATACATTGGTATGCCAAAGGTTGTCTGCTGTGCCATTCAGAAAAACGGAAGGACCAAGAGAAATATCTTCTGTTTCCTTGCTTTTGTTGATCCTCTCCAAAAACCAGGCAATGGGTACAATCTGTCTGTTAAACTTCAGTGTTGGGTAGAGGAGATCCTGATTCAGTGGAGTTATGCATTTATTTAGACACTGCAATACATTTTTAGACGTATTTAGCTGTTACCTTGAAAAGGTACCTGAATTATCTATATCAAATTGCTTAGGTTTGGGTTAAATGAGTCCAGGGAAGGGAGCAGGAAATACCAAGGCTTTCAAAAAAAGAAAAGAAAAAGAAAGTCCTTAGCCTTTACATATAATCTTCCACTTACAACTATTCGTTTAGTGACTGTTCAAATTTACAACAGCATTGGAAAAAAATGACTTATGGCTGTTTTTCACTCTTATAAACATTGCAGGATCTCCCCATGGTCACATGATCAAAATGTTTGGATGCTTGGCAACTGGTCTGTATCTGATGGTTGCAGTGTCCCGGGGTCATGTGATATCTTTTCTGACAAGCAAAGATAATGCAGAAGCCAGCTTCACTTAACAATTGTGTTACTAATTTAACAACCGCATTGAATCACTTAACGCCTGTGCAAGAAAGTTCGTAAAATGGGACAAAACTCACTTAACAACTGTCCTGGTTAGCAATGGAAATGTTGGGTTTAATTGTGGTCGTACGTCAAGGACTACATGTATTGTCTATATTTGACACTCAATTCCATATATTCCAGTTAACAAATACAGCAGTATCATATAATACATTGAAAGCTTTCTACTGTACTTCTTTTGAAATTGTGTATAGGAACATTTTTTATTTTATTTTGCCTGAAGGGAATTCCTAGAACGCCAAGACATTCGCAGCCACTCCTATGCAAAGATGTGAATGGGGAAAAAGTTATGCAAGATTCCCAACCAGCGGGTTAAGTCAGTTTCTTCCAGATATTATGTAGTATTAATAGTATTAACAGGCACTGTGTGTTGTGTTGTATGCAAGAGAGGCAGCAGTGTGGCTTAACTGGGGCTTGTTTTGGGGATAGGGCTTATATTAGGCACAGGCATGAAAATCAGGTTAGGGTTTGTTTTCAGGGTAGGTCGTATTTTTGAGGAGACACAATAAGTAAGAACCAGTTGCTGAGCATCTGAATCAGTGGTGGGCTTCAAATTTTTTTACTACCAGTTCTGTGGCCGTGGCTTGGTGGGCATGGCAGGGGAAGGATACTGCAAAATGCCCATTCCCTCCCCATCCCACCGTTCTCCTGTGCAGGGCAACAAAAGAAGACCCAGCCAATCAGCTGCGACTCAGGAGAAAGAGAATAGATAGGGGTGGGGCCAGTCAGGTATTTACCAGTTCTCCAAACTACTCAAAATTTCCCATACCAGTTCTCCAGAACTGGTCAGAATCTGCTGAAGAGCACCACTGATCTGAATTTTGATCACGTGATCAAGGGAATGCTACAAAGGTTGGTTGATTATCCATTGGTTGATTGTTCTCACTGTCAGAAAGTTTCTCTTTATTTCCAGGTTAAATCTCTCCTTGTTCAGCTTCCATCCATTATTCCTTGTCTGGCCTACAGGCACTTTAGAAAATAGATTGACCAGTTCCTCTCTGTGGCAGCCCCTCAAATATTGGAAGACTGCTATCATGTCTCCCCTGGTCCTTTTCTTCACTAGATTAGCCAAGCCCAGTTCCTGCAACTGTTCTTCATATGCCTTAGTCTCTAGTACCCTAATCATCCTGGTTGCTCTTCTCTGCACTTTTTCTAGAGTCTAAACATCTTTTTTTATAATGTGGTGACCAAAACTGGATGCAGTACTCTAGGTGTGGTCTTACTAAGGCTTTATAGAGTGGTATTAGTACTTCCCTTGATCTTGATTGTATCCCTCTGTTAATACAATTTAGGATTGCATTAACTTTTTGGCTGCTGCTGCACACTGCTGGCTTATATTTAGCTGGTTGTCTACTAAGACTCCAAGATCCCTCTCACAGTTAACTGCTATTGAACCTGGTTTCACCCAGTTTATATGTGTACTTTTGTTTTTTCTTGCCTATTCAATAGTCACAGTACTAAAAACAGATCAATTGGGTCTTCTCCAGCAGATTTTGCCAATTTTCTGTAACAAGGAATTCTGACAGGTGGATTCTACAATGTCTTTGTCAAATATGTGGCTCATCTTGTAACTTGGGAGAGAGAGCTATTCTAGTAGTAAAGATGCCTTTAAATCTTGTAATGACTAATCAGAGATGAGTATGTAAGATGCAAGTTTTTTGCTTCTTGGTTATTTTTTGGTTTCCTATACTTCTGCTTGTTTTAATTAGGAATAGTTTAATTTTAATCTCACTCAGTTCTCAAGAGGGCAACCTATTAATGGAATTGGAAGACACCAATTTTCCCAATATTCACAGACAGAGAAAAACACTTATCAGCCTTCCAGCCTAGTGACCCCTAGTTGTGTTGGCCTGTAACTACAAACATCTTGGTGAAAAATGATTGTAGCAGTAAATCAAACACAATGGCAATTCTTTAAAGTCTTCTTTTAAAAGTGGCACCCCTTCCTGCCACAAAGATGAAGCTGCTTTTTCATCTGTTCTATGCTTAATATATATTTATTTCCTCAAACTCTTCATCTTCCTTCTTAGATGTCTTGTTTCCTCCTCTTTCCAAAATTAGCCTTTGCTATTCCTGCATTTCCAGATTAATATTAATGACTCCCTCTCCCAAAGCTTTAAATCATTTGAGACATAAATTGAAGTGGACATTTCTTCCCTTAGTTCTGTCGGCCTGCTCTCTCCTCCAGTCCAGGATATTAGTTCCCTGAGGGAGAGAAAAAAAATTAGAAAATCCCTAGGAAGCCTTTCCTTGCAGGTCCCAGTATTTGTTAGAAGGGCATGTTATGAAGGCAACCCTGATCATTCAAACGGATTTGTGTCCAGTCTAAAATTTGCATTTTTTTTGGCTCCAAAAGCTCTCCCTCCCTCTCCCCCCTGTATGAAAATCAGTTAAGAATGAGTAGAACACTCACTTCCTCATTTTCTGTTTGCAGCTTTAACTATCACTTCTGTGCCAAGGCTCAGTTGAACAACACTTCAGACTTTTCTGCACTGCAGCCTTAAACTGCTTGTTCTTCCATTTGTAAACTGGCTGGAAATAAAGCTGGTTTAGGACATTCTTTCTGGTTCTAACTCTTTTCTTCTCTTTGGCCATGGTGATAGAAGGCAGGGGAGGTGTCTGGATCAGGACAATGTTGTAA